CACCTTTGCAAACCAGGATGACTACATTTCCTTCCGGTGGGTCTCTGGGCTGCATCTGGGACCCCATGACCTTCGTAACCTTTTGGCTGAGCCATAGCCCTACTGAGGCACAACCTATCTCTGCTTGCTTTCTCCCCAGGCACCATGTCTACAAGAAGACAGACCACCGCAATGTGGAGCTGACTGAGGTTGGGCCTCGGTTTGAACTGAAGTGTGAGTTTGGAGCTTTAGTTTATGCCTGGGGGAGGTAAAGGAGGGGCTTGGTTGTGCCTGGGATGACGTCTTTTCCCCCTGACCCTAGTATACATGATTCGCCTGGGCACACTGGAGCAGGAGGCCACGGCAGATGTAGAGTGGCGCTGGCACCCCTATACCAACACTGCCCGCAAGAGGGTCTTCCTGAGCGCTGAGTGACCTGTGAGCTACTGGCCAGTCAGGATGTGGACTTGGACTTCTAGGGCAGGGACTCGTCACAGACAGATTTACTAATCCCAAGTGGGGGCTGGAAGGATCCAAAATAAACCCTCTGTCGTCATGCTACCCAAGTGCCTCTCACTGGTCACAGTGGACCTACTCTGTCAGGCCAAATCTGAAAGATGAAGCCCACAGTGTGTCTGTGAGTTGAAGACCTAATGACTGTGGAGTGTCCTCAGGCCTTGTTTATGTGGAGTATAAACAACCCCTCTCAGGCTGGAGATGGTGATACAGACTCCCCACTGGAAAATAAGTGGTTGTTTTGGGAGTTGGGCCCTGTGATCGCTTATCTCGGTGGTTTAGGGTAAGTCTTTTTCACTAGCAGCAAGCTGACCCCATTCGAGTGCCAGCCTAACTTGTCAGTTTAACAAGGTCCCTCTGCCAAGCAGGTGCATCCTCCCTCTTTCCCGGGAGACATGGTGACACCAACAACCTGCCTGCCCTTCCTCTAACTCTTGCAGATGGGCCTATCCAACAGTACACAGGAGGTGCCTCAAGATTCTAAGTCTGTGCCCCAGCCTCTCCCAACTTACGCCTTTTCTGTACCCAAATTTCTGTACATGCCCAGGGACCCTGGGTTTATGTAGAGTGGTTGTCAAGACCCTGCCAATGCACTAGAGTTTACAGAGAGAGCTGTGATGAGATCTGCCATGCAGTTGGGAGGAGACCTCTGAAGAAGCGTGCCAGGGCAGGATAAGACATGTCCGCATGGAATCCTGAGACCCGAATTAGTGTGCGATAACAGAAGCCATCTGAATGACATAGAGACCATGTAAGAAGAGGAGAAAGGGAGGCATAGGACCCTCGGAGGCCGCTGTGTTGGAAAGTCTGGGGTGAAACCACCATTACAGCTCATGAATCCAGTTCCTCTGCAAGGCCTTGGGGAGAATGGAAGAATGAGCCTTTGTGTGTGTGTGTCTATTGTTGAAATTTTAAAAGTAAAATCAAAATCATGTGGTGTCCTGTGTTTATTTCTTATAGCTGCCATAAGGAATTACTGGGGACCAGGTAATTTAACAGAAATTGTTAGTTTTAGAGTCATGGTGCAAGGTCAAGGTGTTCGCCCCCTTCTAAGTCTGTGTGTGTCGGGTGGGGATCTGTTGCTCTTTTGCTTGTGATGACTGCCAGCAACCCTGGGCATTCCTTATTGTCGACTCTAGCGCACCAGTGCCAGCCTTTGTCTTCCATGCTTCCGCCTATCAAATTTCATGAATGCTTCTCTTAGAAGAACCTTTGTCAGAGTGGTTACAGCCCATGATCTGGGATAGTCTTATTTACACAATTTTGAACTCGGTTATATCTGCAGAGACCCACCTTCCTTCTCTCTCTCTCTCTCCCTCTCTCTCTTCCTTCCTTTCTTAATTTCTTTTTTTCTCTCTATTGATTTTTATTGAGCTATACATTTTTCTTTGCTTTTCTCCCTGCCTCTCCCCTCCCCTTCAACTCTCTCCCATCATCCCAGTGCTCCCAATTTACTTGAGAGATCTTGTGTTTTTCTACTTCCCATGTAAATTAGATCCTTGTGTGTCTCTCTTAGGGTCCTCATTGTTGTCTAGGTTCTCTGGAATTGTGAATTGTAGTCTGTGTAAATGTACCACATTATCCTTACCCATTCATCAGTCGAGGGGAGAGACCCTTCTTTCAAATGCACTTGCAGTTACAGATTTTAAGGATTAGAATGTCTTTTTCTTTTTTAATTTTATGTGTAAAAGTGTTTTGCCTGCATATATGTCTGTCCACTTGCAGGTCTGGTGCCTGAGGAGGCCAGAAGAGGTTGTAAGATCCCTAGGTCTGGAGTTAGACACTTTTTAGCCATCATATGGATGCTGGAAATTGAACCTTGGTCTTAAAGAACATCTAGTATTCTTTTTCTTTTTTTTTTTCTTTTGGTTTTTCAAGATGGTTTCTCTGTATGGTTCCTTGCTGTCCTGGAACTAGCTCTGTAGACCAGGCTGGCTTAGAACTCAGAGATCTACCTGCTTCTTCCTACTGAGTGCTGAATTTAAAGGTGTAGACCACCACTGCTGGCAGCATCTAGTCTTCTTAAGCACTGAGCATGCTTATATATGAATTCGTTCTTTGTTGTGACTTTCTCCACACTCTTTGTCCTGTGTGTTTAATATTTTAAATTATTTTGATATGACACACAGAGTTTCTTTTCTGGTCTTGCCCATTTGGTGTTCTGTGGGCGTCTTGTATCTCTTTGGGCATCTCTTCACCTAGAGTTGGGAGATTGTTTTCCATAATTTTAAATAAAATATTTCCTGTTCATTTGACATGCAATTCCTATTCTTGTATGCCTAAAATTTTGCCTTTTTGTGATGTCCCAAAGATCTTGTGTGTTCCATTCACATGCTTTTTTAAATTTTTCATTGACCTAGACTGGGTGGTGAGATTCTACCTTGTTTTGAAGCCCTGAAATTCCCTCCTATGCATGATTCTATATAGAGCTTCCTACTGAACTTTATTTGGCCTATTGCATTTTTCATTTTCATCTTCATCTCTGTTCAGTTTTCCCTCAATATTTTTCTCTATCAAATTCTATTTTGGGGGCTGGAAAGATTGTTGGGAGAGGCACAATCACACAGAAACCATATTATTTGCAATACTGTTTGGTCAATAACTTAAGTATATCTCTAGTTTGCTCTTGTATCCTAAACTAACCCATCTTCATTAATCTACCTCATCATGAGGTTGTGGCCTACACACAGTTTCAGCACATCTGTCTCCGGCGGCTACATGGCTTCCCCCTGACTCCACCTATTCTCTCAATATATCTTTCAGCCTGGCTTTACTCTGTTAAACCATTGGCTGAAAGCAGCTTCTTTATTAGCCAGTGGCAATAAAATATATTCACAACATACATCACCTCCCACATCAAGAAATGGCTTAACAGATAAGAGCACTGGTCCTTCCAGAGGACCTGGGTTTAATTCCCAGCACCCGCATGGAAGCTCACCACTGTCTGTAACTTCAGTTCCAAAGGATCTAACATCCTCACACAGAGATACATGCAGGCAAAACACCAATTCAATGACATAAAAATAAGTACATACATGTTTAAAAAATTCTATTTTCATATCCTGAATTGACTTTATTCCATCCAGCTGTTTGTATTCCCTTGGAGTATATCCATGTTCTTTCTGAGATCACATTTATCATTCTTTTAAATTATGTGTCTGAAATTACATGTGAATCATTTTTATTGGGAGCCATTCCTGTGGGGTTGGTCATTTTTGGAGGGAACATTGTCTTGGTCTTTCATATTCCTGTTAGGTTTTGTGCTGGGACATACCCATCATTGTTAGTATTTTTGTTGTCATTATTTATATTTATTTAGAGACAGGGTTTGTCTGTGTAATCCTGGCTGTCCTGGAACTCACTGTGTAGGCCATGCTGGCCTCAGACTTAGAAAGATCCGCCTGCCTCTGTCTCCCAAATGCTGAGATCAAAGTTGTATGCCGTCTCCGCCCAGCTGTTAAATTTTTAAAATTTAAATTCAGATTGCCTTTCTATTTTAGTGGGAATGTTTCCAGTGTTCAGGAAAGACAAGTAAAGTTGAGATGACATTTTCTTCTTTTAGACCATTGTTCTGGGCCTTATGCTCTCTCCCTGACCTCGGTGGTGGCAAGATAGAGTCACTGTCCAGCAGTAAACCCACCATGAGAGTGGAGTGTTAGTTGACTGCGAAACACACATTTCCTAAAATACTAACTAGGGGGGACTGAAGGGCCGCCAATTGCACTGTGTGTGCTAGTTAGTGTATTGGTTACTGTGAGTGTGAGCAGAGAGAGAAAAACCACAGTGGGATTGGTAATTACTATTAGGTCACTAATAAAGTGGAGGGGCTCGTGTCAAAGAAGGAATGATTGGAACACGAGGTGAGATGTGGGAGATTGGGTTATCAGAGTAAACTGAAAAGAAATCTCAGAGATGTACACTCAAATAATGGACACCAGTGCATTATTGGACTCATCTCTCAAGAGTCACAAGAGACGTTAACCCCAGGCAGCCTATGTTCTTTGGGAGAGAAAAGATTAGGGTGCAGGGGGAAAGAAAAAGATGGTGCAAACAGTCAGAGACTAAGGTGGTCTGCTAAGTTGACCTTGAATATCATACAAATCAGGAAGAGCTGTGGAGAGGAACAGAGCTGGGTGGAGGCTCAGTGTGGAGCCAGATTCTGTTTGGTGACTCCCTGATTTAGCAGGGTGATGGTGAAGATCTATTTGTGTGTGGGCGCTCTTACCACTATCGGGCAGCCAGAGCTGGTGCTGGAACCGAAGCTGGGCAGAGGCACGGGCATCTATCTAGCCATTCAGGGTGAGCTAGAACCCCAGAGGTAGGTTTAAAATGATATGCACAGAGCTGTGCAGCCATCACCATGACTTTAGTTCCTTTCTGTCCCCATAAACAGAAACTTCACATTCACTGCTACAGAAGCTGTTAGGAGTAGAACCAGGGCTCTGGAAACCCTAACAATCTGTTCCACCACACTTTCTCAAGAGACCAATTACACAGACACATTATAAGGAAAAGTATGGAAAGGAAATTCAATGAAGTTACATAGGGAAAAGCAACAAAGAGGTCCAGTGACCTCCCACCCCAAGTTCATCTTTGGGTCCTGATATGAGGTTTAGGTTTAGAGGACTAAAGGTAATTCTGTAGTTAAGCAGTCTTGGACAGGGTTTGGTGCCATTCGTCACTGCGGGCTTTGGTCATCTTGGCTCCAGAGTCTTGGCTCCAGACTCTCCTGCAAGGTGGTCTGACAAGTCAGAACTGAGTGAACTCTCTCCCTGGGAGACACATACCCCTCCCTGGCACCACGCTTCAGCCTTTTCCTTTTCACATGAGTCTCCTGAAGAAATTCCAGGTCCTTGGAGATTGCTACCTAAGTAGTCCGATAGAAGAGAGGGACACAGAGGGCCTCTGTTTAAGACATCTTTCTGCCAGGATGGGCACGCCTGAAGCAATGACTCCAATTCCTTCCAACCACCTGTAACCATGACCTGAGCCCCTTGCAAGCAAGCACTGACCTACTTCTGGTCTCTTCAGGCCTGCCTCTTTCTCCTCACATGAGTACAATCATGTGATATGTTGTCCTTTGTGACTTAATTCTTTAACCCAGCATAATGTTTTCAAAAGCTTATATTGTAGCATATTTCTTACTGCCTAATAATATTCCTCCGCAGGTATAAGACCATGTTTATCAGTCAGTTGATGGAAGTTTAGGTTTTGGTTATTTTTGTTCTAAGTGTCTTGTTAAGTTTCTCTTTGTCTTTGTAATTTATCTATTTAGGAAATAGGCTTCTCTGTAGTTTGCACAGTTTGACACTGGTGCTATTTAACTTGCACCTGCGCATTATATTTCCTCTAAATTAATATGTTTGATTGTTCTTTTTTGTTGTTGTTTTAAAACAGGGTCTTGTGTAGCCCTGACTGTCCTGAAATTTATTGTGGAGACCAGACTGGCCTTGAACTTACCTCCTGCCTTTGCCTCCTCCCAAATGCTGAGTTGAAAAGTATGTTCTATGCCTCTGCCTCTGCCTGAGTGCTGGGATTAAAGGCGTGAACCACTACCATTGGGAAGATACCATTTTCAAATCTGGAAACGGCATTAAACTCATGGTCCTGGTAGCTCCAGGATCCTGGGATCTCCGTTACAATTTAGGCTTTACCTTCACAGCTTCATGCAGTGACCTCTTTTACCTACCCTGCCACACAATGCCCGGCTGTAGCGTATGACACTGGTCTGCGCTCTATGCGCCACCATACAGTTCGTGAGCCAGGCAAGGGGCTGGAGATTGAAACACACAATGACACACAGACAGAGACAGGTCATCCTTGATGCCCCAAGAATGTCCCTTCAATGTGTTCAGGGGCAGCTTATATAGGGATAGCCACGCCCCAGCCAAATCCACCAGAAATCACTCACCTGCCATCAGGAACTCCCAAGGGTCTCGTTCTCAGAGCAGCTGCAGACTGTCTCAGAGCAGAGGAAAACAGGTTGTTGACAAGATATTTAGGATCTGGGGTTTCACTGCTCCCAACACCTGGCTTTATCTGTTCTTTGAAACCATGGACTATGACTCCTTGAACCCCTCAATCTTGCATCTTTCATGGCTGAAAATCCAGGACCCACATAGATGGTGCTATCAAGTTCTGCTGCTAGAGATACAATGTAGCCTGGTGTCCTTGGACCACAGCTGCACCAAATTGGTGCTAGCCTGGGGAGACACTTTACTAAGCCGTTCCTTTCCAGGAACAGGGAACCCCCAGCGTCAGTTCGGGCTCTTCCTTACAATACCTTTGCACTTTGACAGGTTGGAGCTTTGGGTGGATGGGATTTTGCCCGCAGGACATCATTCCTGTAATCCAATGCATTGGCAGATGCTTCTCGGTGGTGCTGATCGCTCTAACAGTGTGGCTGCATCCTCATCACCAGCCTGAGAGTTCCCATCTTTGTCCACTAGCTTTACACTCAGTTTCACCCCAGTTCTCAGGACATGGCGGAATGAAGCCATTTCTTCGGCTAGCACACAGATGTAAGCCCTTTGGGCTCCACTGGCAGTTTTCAATTGCTTTTCCAGCCCACCGTTCTAAATTCCTCTCCTTCCTCCAATCAAACAAGTTCCCATGGTCAACAAACCACAGGGTCCTACAGCAGATGTCCCACTTCTCGGTCTCAATTTATGTCAAAATGCCCTGAGAGGTCTCTTGAGGAAGGAAGGGTTAATTTTGGCTCTCAGTTCAAACACAGTCACTCGGGACAGGGAAGTTATGGCAGCAAGAACTTGAACTAACATAGGAAGCCGAGTGTGGGGAACACTGCTTCTCAGCTTCCTTTTTATTCAGTGCAGAATTTAAGCCCAGGGAATGGTGCCGCCTATTTTTAGGATGGTTCTTGCCTCAGTTTAATCTGTATTAATGCCTCACATACTTGGCTAGAGCAGCGCTTCTCAACCTTCCTAGTGCTGCGACCCTTTGATACAGTTCCTTATGTTGTAGTGACCCCCAACCATAAAGTTATTTTTGTTGCTACTTCATACATATTTATATATAGCTGTAATTTTGAAGCTGTTTTGAATCGTAATATAAATATTGTTGGAGACAGAGGTTTGCCAAGAAGTTGCAACCCGCAGGTTGAAGATGACTGGTCTAGAGGCCTCTCACTGATCTAGAGATTTCTCAGAGGTGTGCCTGAAGGTTTACCTCATAGGTGGTTTTAGATCGTTAATAGTCAGCTGTACTATCACTATTTAGCCTCTAGAGGGCGCTAAAGTGTAGTGTGGCATTCTCTTTATGATGTGTACCTGTAGGCTCGAGATGCTGATGTTGTTCCAAAAAAGGAATCGTTGATTCAGAATATGGAAACCTCTGAGGAGATTGGGGAACCCCAGAGGAGCTCTCCAGAAAGTCCTGGCACTGCTGGGCTCAAACTCCTGCTTGTAGAAGGAGAGGGTTGTGCATTCTGTTTTCCGAATGTCAAGCTTGTGAATGGCTAGGGTGTCAGCTTGCGAAACCTGAGCGTTTTAACAGTGACGCAGTGAAGTGTGTGTGGGTGGGAGGGGTGTTTGACAATGTCTTCTATCCATTCGGTTTGTTGAATTTTTTGGTCCAGTGGAAAAGAAAGCTTGAGAATAATTGGGTATTAGGGGTTATCATCAAAGAATAATTGGGTATTAGGGGTTATCATCAAAGAATCTCCCTACAAGCCTCCTGAGTTAAAGCACTGTCTCCCAGGTTCTCCACTGTCGTTTCTTTTTCCCTTTGACACAACAGTTCAGGCTGACCCCTCACAGCACCCGTCAACCCAGTCCTCAGCTCTTGAGTGGCCAGTGGACCAAGGACTCTGAGTGTTATAACTACATAGACCCTCAGATCCAGTTAGAGTCAAACATTCCTGCCCTCTTTGCCAGCAACCAGTCAGACCGGTTTTACCTAGACAGAGTTCCGCTCCAGTTTGCTTTCGGTTGCTGTGACAAGCACCGTGACCAAAAGCATCTTGAGGAGGGAAGGGTTTACTTGGCTTACAAGTTACTATTGTTTACAATGGGTAGAACATGTTAATACTTTCTTATTGCACAAGGGCAGAACCAGGAAACAGTTATAATCAGATCAAAGCAAACCCCAGCTGCAACATCATTGCTCAAATTTTGCAACTCAGTGTTTGACAGTTGGTATTCATTCACACAATCTTCTGAGCTCCAAAGGACGGGCAGCCTATGGTGCTTTGAATGAGAATGACTCCCATGGGCACATTATTTAAATGTTTGATTCCCTTGGTGGACTGCTTAAGAGGTGTAGCCTTGCCAGAGAAGGTGTGACACTGGGTGGGCTTTGAGGTCTCGAAAGCCCTTACCAGGCCCAGTCTTGCCTTCTCTGTTTGCTGCTTGATAATATGTAAGCTCTCAGCTTTTGCTCCAGCACCATGCCCGTCTGCCTGCTGCCATACACCCGACCATGAAGGTCATGTATGCAATCCCTGAATTAAATGCTTTCTTTTGTAAACTGCCTCTGTCACGTCTCTTCACAGCAACAGAACAGTAAGACACAGCCCCACCTCTCTGCCTCTGCTATCTGCAGCACACACAGCTTGTCCAGTAAGCTTAGGCTGGCTCCTCTCTGTTAACTGTCCTTGACTGATCTCCCACAGTCTCCAATATGCTGGGGTCTTCACTGCAGCTAGGAAGGCTGTGCCTTCACCAGTGGCTTCTCTTGACTTCCTCATGAACTCTGGCTCCTTCACATGGTGCCAAACATCAGCTTTTCTCCGTAACCCCCCTTCAATGCTGATTTCCACTAAAATGGAGACTGCGCCTTTACCAGTGGCCTCTCTGCAGAGAGTCTGCCACCAGCCACAGTACCAAATCTGCTACATTTGATGACCACTTCATGCCTGCAAACCAATTCCCTATGGGAGGCTCTTATCCATTACCAAGTTCAGCTATGAGCTAGAGATGCACCCAGCCCAGACCACAGCTGCTGTATACTGACCCGGAAGAAATAATTTCCAGATTTCGCCTCAGTGATGCTGGTCTCTTAATAATTGCAGCTGCTTTCTCAGCATCTGTCACCCCAGTAAAACAAAGAAGGCTTCACTTCCAGATTCTGGATTCAAATATACCACACAAATGGAACTGAGAAAGATTCTCAAACTTCCCTCGGAAACACTGTAAGCCAGGCTCCGTTATCTTCTCTTCCAAGGTCCTACAGAACAGTTCGCTAACACTCAGTGGCTTTTCCAGTCCAAAGAGCCCAAATCCTCCACAGTCCTCCCCAAAAGCAACATTGTCAGGTTCAGCGCAGCAAAAACTCACTCCTGGTATCAATTTCTGATCTAGTTTGTTTGCAGTAGCAGTTACAAACATCGTGACCAAAAGCACCTTGGGGCGTGTGCTGGCTAGTTTATATCAGCCTGAGACAAACCACCGATGTCGTTTGGGAAAAGGAAACCTCAACTGATAAGTGCCCCCACCAGATTTGCCTGTGGCCTAAAAGTGATTGGTGTGGGAGGACCCAAGCTCACGGTGCTCCTAGTACCATCCCTGCGCTGGTGGTCCGGAGTGCTCTAGGAAAGCAATTCAGCAAAGCCAGGAAGGACACGCCATGGCCTCTGCCTCAGTTCCTGCCTACCAGGTTCCTGCCTTGAGTTCCTGCTGGGACTTCATTGGATGATAAACTGTGGTTTGGAAGGGGGTAGGTGAAATAAATCCTTTCCTCCCCTAGCTGTTTATGGTCATGGTGAACATGGTAATAGAAACCCTATCTAAAGGAAGAAAGAGTTGATTTGACTTACAGGTCACTGTCTATCACTGAAAGAAGTCACATAAAAAACTCAAGTGGGAACCTGGGGGCAGGAACGGAGACAGAGTCCCCTGAGGACTGCTGTATCACTGGCTTGCTTCCTTCTACTGACTGTGTAGTCAGCTTTCTTCAAATATTTTTTTTTTTCCTGTCAGTTTTCTTATACATCCCAGGAACACCTACCTGCCTGGGGTAGCACCACCCACAATGAGCCAGATCCTTTACATCAATTAGCAATTGAAAACAATATGTCTACATTCACATCCACAGGCAGTCTGGTGTAATGGGGATAGTTCAACGGAGGTTTCCTCTTCTCAGGTGTGTCAAGCTGACAATCAAGATTAACCATCAAGATAGACAGAATCCCAAGAGAATAGACTCCCATCTGGATAGCCAGACAGAAATTTAGATGAGAAGACAGACATCTAGACAGATCAGGGGTTCCAGGGAAATAGAGCCCCCCCTTCCTTGCTGACTAAAATTAATCCCAGCCAAGCAGAAGACAAAGCATCTCCACCAATTAAGTCACCCCAGTGGAGACCCATCACCCGTCCAGTCAGTATTCAGATGCACAGATTTACTTATTAGCCAAACTTGAGCCTATGAGAGAAACAACCTTTTTCTGCAGAAAGGATACCTCCTTCTGGACAAATAGACTCCCCTGGGCCTCCCCGCTGGATTCTCATTCCCTGCTTGCACAGATCTCCAGCTTCCAAAGCAGAGATTCTCCATGCACTGATCAGCTTTCCTGTTCCCCTGCCTATTACCATAGCTGACCATTGACCTCTCAGTGCTGCCACCTCTCCTGGTTACCACCAGTATCCGGTGGCCACTGCCCATCAGTGATATCTACTGCTCCTCCATGGAGACCTTTCCCGATCCCTTAGAGACACTCCTCCATTTGTTCCGGAATCACCTGGCTTAGAACGACTGCCATTAGTAATCTGGGAGACCCAGCTTCTGGGACTCCTATTTTCACGGAGTTCATAGACCTGTGTGCTGCCTGCCTGAGTCACCCGCCACCCGTGTCCATCCAACAGGCACCAGCAGTCCCGCTGGCATTGACTGGTCACCTGCTTCCTTGGGAACCAATCCTCCAAGTCTCTAAGGCCCCTCAGTTAATGAATTGGCCTTCACCCTGCCCCAGGTGACACCATCTTCCAATCACTGCTGGTCACGTAACTGACCTCCAGTGAGCCCACAATTCCTGTCCATTCTCGGTGATCCCTGCTGACCCCCTTAGAACACACAAACATGAACAGTGGCTCCCCAATAACTCACGATAGTCTTGATCGTATTCCTTCCACTGCCCTCTCTAATCCCCTTCCTCTTCCTGCAGACCCCCTTCATCACAAGCCCCCTCCTACTTGCGTGTCCTTGGTGTGTATGTGCCCCACTGCAGTAAGCTGGGGTTTTCTGAATAGGCATGGGTAAGGCGGGTTCACTTACTTGAGTGAGGGAAACTTACCAGTGGCTGCACTATCGAGGAATGTGATGCCCGTATGACTTCTCAGAGAGGGATGAGGCCTGCTGAGTCCCTCTCATTCACGATGGCACTTTGCTAAGCCCAGAGTTATGGGTTCATGGGTGCAACTGCTATGCCATACCCAGAAGACAATATTTTATGGCACCCTCATCTTCTGGCTCTGTTGTTCTTCCTGCCCCCATCCCCACCCTGCAACATTCCCTGAGCCCTGGAGAGGGTGGTACAGATGTCCCTTTTAGGGCTGAACACCCAACAGTCACTCACCCTCAGAGCTTTAACCAGTCTGATTTTACCCTCATCTCTCGATATTTAAGCTAGGTCCAGCAAACTAGAATCTGCAAACCACAAAATAAAAAAAAATGTAATGAAATTAAAGGATTGTTGCCAATGCAGTGTTTAAAACATTTTTAAAAATTTGGCCAGGCAGTGGTGGCACACACCTTTAATCCCAGCATTCAGGGGGCAGAGGCAGCAAATCTCTGTGAGTTTGAGGCTAACCGTCCCCCT